GTTGTGGAATGTCTACTTCAACGACCTTCTTCATCTCATCCCAGAATCACATGCATATGCAGACGACTGTACACTGACATTCACTTATCCAAGAGAAGAAATGCCAGCTGCTCTAAGCTACATCAATCACCAGCTGAGAGCTATATCAGCTTGGGGAAATAGATGGCAAGTAACATTTGCACCTGAGAAAATGCAAATGATGATCGTCTCTAGGCACCATGATGGTAATGCTGGTGCAGTAGTAAGGATGAATGGGAGGATGTTGGCACCTGGAGAAGAAGTTGATATCCTTGGGGTGAAATTTGACTCCAAACTAACCATGAAGAACCATGTTGTAAATCTTGCAAACAAGGCAGCCAGGAAGCTTACAGCACTTCGCCATATCTCGCATCTGCTTGACAGTAGGGGTTGCAAGATCCTGTACGAGGCACAAGTACGCTCACACCTTGAGTATGCTCCACTTTCTTGGTTTGCCTGCCCCCCTCTCATCTGCGACTGCTTGACAGAGTAGAGAACAGAGCAAGATGTCTCATCTCTCGCATGGACCCATCCTGGATAGATCTGTCATTTCAGCAGAGCCTTCAACATAGGAGGGATGTGGGTGGCCTTACTGTTATGTACAAGGCCAATATTGTCAAAATACCACACTTGGATCCACTTCGAGGACAGCGTGAAACAAGCTTTTATGCCACAAGACGGGCAGAAAGCAGCAACTTCACTCTGGCTGTACCCTTCTCCAGAACATCACTCCATCTGAGATCATACATACCCAGGATGACTCGAGTATGGAACACATTCGTACAGCATAATGATGTCAACGAGATAAAGTCAGTTGATCAAATGAAAATGCTGGCCCACAGATGGCTCCAACTTCATCCTGTTCCATACTTGTATGTCTCATAACAATAAAAATGCTTTCAAATGAGCTGATGTAGGTAACAGCTCTTAGCTTGCCAATAAAGTTAGGAATCCTTAACCTGTAATATAGCTGTCAATAAAGCTAGGGATCCTTAACCTTGTCAAACCCTGTGTAAAAAAAAAAAAAAAGAGAAGAAAGAGAAAGAGAAAAAGAGAAAAAAGAAAAAAAAGAGAAAAAGAGAAAAAGAGAGAAAGAGAGAAAGAAAAAGAGAGAAGAGAGAAAGAGAGAAAAGAAGAGAAAAAGAGAAAAAGAGAAAAAGAGAAAAAGAGAAAGAAAAAAAGAAGAAAAAGAGAAAGAGAGAAAGAGAGAGAGAGAGAGAGAGAGAGAGAGGAGAGAGAGAGAGAGGAGAGAGAGAGAGAGAGAGAGAGAGAGAGAGAGAGAGAGGATGGGAGTGAAGGGGACGGGGGAGGGAAGGAGGGGGATAGAGTGACCGCTTAAACAGGGGTGCCTTAAGGCTGTGTGTGTGTTAGTGTGTGTGTTTGTGTGTGTTTGGTGTTAGTGTGTGTGTGTTTGTGTGTGTGTGTGTGTGTGTGTGTGTGTGTGTGTGTGTGTGTGTGTGTGTGTGTGTGTTAGTGTTGTGTGTGTGTTAGTGTGTGTGTGTGTTAGTGTGTGTGTGTGTTAGTGTGTGTTAGTGTGTGTGTTAGTGTGTGTGTTAGTGTGTGTGTTAGTGTGTGTGTTAGTGTGTGTGTTAGTGTGTGTGTTAGTGTGTGTGTTAGTGTGTGTGTTAGTGTGTGTGTGTGTTAGTGTGTGTGTTAGTGTGTGTGTTAGTGTGTGTGTTAGTGTGTGTGTTAGTGTGTGTGTGTGTGTGTGTGTGTGGTGTGTGTGTGTGTGTGTGTGTGTGTGTGTGTTGTGTGTGTGTGTGCGCATGCATGTGTGTGCATGTGCATGTGTGTGTGTGCGCGCGTGCATGTGTGTGCGCGTGCATGTGTGTGTGTACTCACCTAGTTGAAGTTGCAGGGGTCAAGTCCAAGCTCCTGGCCCCATCTCTTCACTGGTCGCTACTAGGTCACTCTCCCTGAACCATGAGCTTTATCATACCTCCGCTTAAAGTTATGTATGGATCCTGCTTCCACTACATTGCTTCCCAAACTATTCCACTTTCTGACTACTCTGTGGCTGAAGAAATACTTCCTAACATCCCTGTGATTCATCTGTGTCTTCAACTTCCAACTGTGTCCCATCTCTGGAACATCCTGTCTTTGTCCACCTTGTCAATTCCTCTCAGTATTTCGTATGTCAGTATCATGTCCCCCCTATCTCTCCTGTCCTCCAGTGTCAGCAGGTTGATTTCCCTTAACCTCTCCTCGTAGGACATACCTCTTAACTCTGGGACTAGTCTTGTTGCAAACCTTTGCACTTATAATTTCTTTACGTGCTTGGCTAGGTGTGGGTTCCAAACTGGTGCCACATACTCCAACATGGGCCTAACGTACACGGTGTACAGGGTCCTGAATGATTCCTTATTAAGATGTCGGAATGCTGTTCTGTGTGTGTGCGCGCGCGCATGTGTGCGTGTGCGGGAATGTGTGTGCGTGCGTGCCTGTGTGCGTGAGCGTGCCTGTGTGCGTGCGTGTGTGTGCGTGCGTGTGTGCGTGTGTGCACGTGTGTGCGTGTGTGCACGTGTGTGTGTGTGCATGTGTGTGTGTGCGCGTGTGTGCATGTGCATGTGTGTGTACACATCTGTTTTAGTGTGTACAAGTGTGCATGTGCTGACTTACACATGATGATCTACATGTGGATGTGAGTTTCAAGTGAAAGTGGTAATGGATGTCTATTAATATTACAAATTCAAAGTAATATGAAAGCCAGAAGTATTTGCTCAGTAACAAATGCAAATTGTAATCTTAAATAAAATGTAATAATAAAAATAAAGCATATGAACCATTTATTATGGGTTATTGCATTTAAACTTTTACTATCATTTTAAATATGTAAACCAAATAAAATTCTCAGAAGCCTCAACGACTTAGAAAATATTATTCCTGAGTTATTGTGTGTTTTACCCAGCTCATATACATGATATGGCAAAAATAACTATAAAGGTTCATTGCAATCAGAAGCAAAAAAATGATATATAATAAATATGATAGTCTTAGCTCCAAGAAGATTTGCTATTGTTATGGAAGCAACACATCAGTGTTAAAGAAAACCATCCCAAAATAAAGCATTTGCAAGTCAACTTAAAATTTTATCAAATATGAAAAAAGGTGTTTTTCCTCTTCTGTGGTCCTGTATCTAGCTTAAAAATATTAAGGGTTGTCTTAAATTATGACCAGCTGATTCTAGGAACATTCATGGCTGAAAAACTTAACTAGGAAATAAACATATATCTTTACGTGCAGTGTAACTTTCCTCTTTTTATTAAGCAATCAACAATATAATAAAACTCCTTTAAGTCTAAAATAACCAATACTCTACTTAACAAATAAATCTTAATATTATCAGCCAAAATTGTTCCTTGAATACATATATCAGCAACTGGAAAAAACAAGAGAGTACTTGGCTTGAGTGGGAGGAGGAGGAAGTAATCATTTCCCAAACATGTACTCCATAACGAGCAGCTTTTCCATGTAAGTTAACGTTGTAAAACATTATAAAACAACGTATGTCCAACTATGTATCTTCATGGTATATAAAGATTTATTATATAATATTTTCGAAGTAGATTGTCCAGGGTATTCACAGGAAAACAAAAAGTTATCATTATCTCACATACATGATCACTTGATCTTTGTAACATTTCAAAATAGTAACTTTTGATAGTAGTTACATATGGTTTTCTAACAATATGAAAATTGCTATTCATGGGGAAGCACTAAACTCATAGGGGTTATACAGCACCTAGGAAATCTGAAAATGTATTTAGTGAAGGATTTAATTGACTTTATAGTTTCCATGTGGGAACTTATGATGAACATCACAATTTTAAAGTTCCTTGAAATACTCACGAAGATGCTCATACCAAAAGATTTACGAAGATAAAGGATACAGATGAATGTATGATCAATTTATACTCAAGTTCTTCGAGAGTTCAAAAAGGTTTTTTGGTTGTGAACCAGATACAGAACTTTTACAACAGAACTAATAAAAATTATAAACAATCACTTACTGAATATTAACGGCCCACATTATCACATTTCTTTACTTAGTTAAGGCACACAAAAAATTAATTAATTAAAAAAAATACATCACTTAAAATTGCAAATGTTTTCTATAGAATTTTTTTTTTTTTTTTAAATTATTATTCTTAACACATCGGCCATTCCCCACTAAGGCGGGGTGCCCAAAAAAGGAACTTTCATCATCATTCACTCCATCACTGTCTTGCCAGAACTACACTCACACTACAGTTATAAAACTGCAACATTCAGACAAAATGTGGTACTAAAAGTTAGGGGCAACAAAATGCAGAAGAATTATGCTCTTACTTCACATTATTTTAAGATAAAATAATGATAATATAAGTCACAACTGATATACTCTCTACCTCACAAACCCAAGCCAAAACTCCTTATATTTTTTCCATAATATTTACATCTGCGCAAAATGTTTTAATTCATGGTTCATCACGTTACTTACAGTTTCTGAGGGAAAAGATAGGAAATTCAGGAAGAAGATACTCCACTAGTCATGTGGAGAGATTAAATTGATATCTATGAGATTATTTTTCTGCAACTGTTTCTGCTTCAGCTGTGTAACTATGTAAGAACAAATTTATAAAAGTAAAGTTAAATACAACTATTGTTAACTTTACTGTCAATGTATTGAATTAGTATGAGATATATTATTCAATAATAACTTTAGTTAAAAGATAATAATAACCATGGAACTAGAGTCATACATGTCATATTGCTTGATACTTTCCCAATATTTAACAAGCTGTTAGTGCTACCTGACACATGTTTACTGACTTCAATCTTACTGCTCTTCATTACTAAATAACAATGTTTATTTCATGAAAAACAAACAATGCATTTTATAATTAATTTAAGAACAATAATGCATTGAAAAAATAAACAAATTTTGCAACATGAACATTTAGAAATGACTTTTGTCATGCATTTTACAAGAGAGAAAAAATTTATTAATATTTATCTTATCTTATGATAAAGATGAAAATAAAGGTGCAACATGGTAAGGCAGCAATAAGAGGTCCAGCATGAGTGCAAGGAAGAATCAAACAACATGAACATTTCAAGACTGAGAAGAAGGATGATGATGGATGTGTGTTAGAGGGTATACCTGGGTGTGTGGTGGAAGTGGTAGAATAGGTGGTGGTAGTGGTGATGGTGGTGGTGGTAGTAGTGGTGGAGAACACCCCCCAAGGGGCTGTGGTGGTAGTGGAGGAAGAAGGGGGTGTGGTATTGCGGGCCCCCCAGCCCACAGCACTGGTACTGTTGATGACGGTAGTGGAGTTGGCAGTAGTGAGGCCTTCAACTTCCCGGGGGGCTGGGGGTACTGCCGGCTTCTCATTTAAAGTGCCAGTAGTGGACATAAAGGGCATGGTGGTGGTTGTGGAAGGGGGCGGGGGACGTGCTGGAGGTTGATGGTCTGTTGCATGTTGCTGCTGCTCCTGCAGAGGCTGTGGACTACTGGTGGGGGCGCCACTATCATCACCTCCGCTAATGGGCCATGCATCTCTGGGCTGACTGGGGGGCCATGCACTATTCCAGGCACTAGCCCCACCACTGCCAAACCCTTTACCTGCCCAAGCTGAGCTGGCGGCATCACCCCAGGCAGCATCTGGATTCACTAGCTTCTCACGCAGACTCAGCACCTGCCAATATACCATTCATAATTTCATATACATGTATTCTATCGGAATTGTAAAATACAATTAATTCACACAAAAAAATAAACTAGAAATGTTCAACATCATGTATTATTAACCATTTCAGGGCTTCCAACATACTAGTATGGCTTACGTGCCAGGGTTATTGACGTATTAGTACGCATAAATTCTAGTGCCTTCAAATGAAGCGGGAAAAGGCTGGTAGGCCTAGATGTGAGAGAATGGGTGTGCATGGTCGGGGCGTGCAGTAGAAAAAAAATCTGGGACTCAGTGGTGCATTGTGGGAATGCCATTTTAGTACAACTTGTTCACCATGCCTCGTGGTAAGAAACTCCTCACTCCTCGGCGAATTGGGACACTTTTGTTTCCCAGTGACAGTTGTAATACAGATGAAAGTGCCAGTGAAGATGAGTTTCAAGGTTCTGATGAGGTTGTGACCGAAACTAATGACGATAATACCAGTAATAGTGAGGAAAACCCAGATGACCCTCAGCCTTCCATCTCTGATGCTGGGCCGTCTTGTTCACATTCAGTTGAACCAGAACGAAAGAGGAAACTCCTATTTTCCCACATCCAGGACTCAGATGTGAGCATTGGTGATGATAGTGATAGTGAATATGAACTACAAGCTCTTGAAAACAGTTCCAGTAGCGATAGTGAAGTGGAACATTCTCCAGTGAAGCGTCAGTATATACGACGGTACATGCGCTCTGGTAGCATGCCATATGCTATTCCATGGGGAAGGAGTACATCTCGGAGTACATCCCATGGCTGTACAACAGGAACAGAGTGAAAATGAAGATGACAGTCTTGCAGTTGGGATGGAAAATGTGCATGGTGGTGGTAGTGGTGGTGAGAGTCTTGAGGCACCAGCAGTGGGCCATGCTGCCACCCACGCTGCTGCCTCAGTTGATCTACAACAAAGGCCACAATCCCCTACCCACCCACCACACCAGCCTCCACAACCACAACCTCCACAACCACAACTTCCACAACCACAAACTCCACAACCACCTGTCAATATCCAGTACCCACCAGCAGACCGCACCTGAGATTGGCAGGAAGCTGACAATTTTGTTCCCAATCCTCATCACTTTGATGAAACTCAAAGTGGAATACAGTCATCTTGTACACTTGGGAACAATGCCACTGAACTGGAATGTTTTGAGTTATTCTTTGACGAACCCCTGATGGAAATTATTGTCAGGGAAAGCAACAGATACTTCGAGTACACCACAGCAAACACAATACTTTCACCAAAATCACGCCTACACCAGTGGAAGGAGACAACTGCGGCTGAGCTGTATCTTTTCTTTGCCACAATAATGCTTATGCCACATGTGTATAAGCACAGTGTCAAAGCATACTGGTCAACAGACCACCTGATTGCAACCCCAGGTTTCAGTAATATAATGCGAGTGAATCGATCTGTGCTACTATTACGTACGCCTCACTTCTCAGGCAAAACCAGGCCTGACAGAAACGACAGGTTATATGAGATTAGGAATGTGTTTGTGTATCTGAAAGGGAAATTCAGTATGTATTTTTATCCCTTCAGGAAGCTTGTTATTGATGAGTCTGATTCTGTTCAAAGGAAGACTCTCATTCAAGCAGTATATACCAAGCAAGAGGAAACACTTTGGTATAAAGTTATTTGTGCTTTGTGACTGCTACAGTAGTCTTGTATTGGATATTATTGTGTACACTGGAAGTTATACATTGCAAAATGCCTGGAAGTTATTGGGCATCTCAGGTGATGTGGTTAGAATAACGATGGAACCATACCTTGGTAAGGGGAAATATTATAAACATATATTATATATATGTACAGATAACTGGTACACATGCCTCACTCAGTGATTTTTTGCAAGTAAACATGACAGATGTGTGTGGCACAGTGCGTGCAAATCCTAAGCATATGCCCAGATTTGATGTTGGCACTCACAGAGGTGAAGTGCAGGCGTTTGCTGCCAATGACATCATGGCATTTCGGTGGCATGACAAACGAGATGTCACTGTTGTCATCAGTTCACCCTAACGAAATGACAAACACTGGCAGGGAGAAGAGAGAGACCAATGAACCCATTCTAAAACCTGCAGTTGTGATTGATTACACCTTCAACATGCACTCAGTGGACAAATGTGACATGCAGATTGGGTTTGCTGATTGTGTTCGCAAGAGTTATAAGTGGTACATAAAATTCTTTTTCCATATTCTGGATATTTCCATGCTCAATGCTTATAATATATACAAGATGAGAACCAGAAACAAACCACCATATGGCGAATTTTGTTTGTCTGTCATCAGACAAATAGTATTCAAGTACCAAGGAACAATACCTGCAATAGAAAACCGCCCACGAAATTATCAACAACTACCTTCTTGTCTGAAGCATGGTGATCACTTCCTAATAAAACTTTCTGCTACTGTTTTCAAGCAAAAAGGCTCAGAAGAGGTGTTACGTTTGTGCACATGAGAAAAAAACGCCCACAACAATGCAGACACACTCGTTTTATGTGCGAGGAGTGTAAAACACCACTGTGCATGACACCATGTTTCAAAGACTTCCACAGGCTGCAGAACTTCTAAAAACATGTCCTGTGAACTGGTCGACAGACTGCCTGATTTCAATCCCAGCTTTCAGTGATATAATACCTGTGAACTGATTGGTGCTACTGCTACCTATGCTACACTTCTCAGACAAAACAAGTCCTGAGAGAAACAACAGGTTATTTAAGATCAAGAATGTGTTTATGTATCCGAAACAGAAGTTCTGTATATATTTTTATCCCTTCAGGATGCTTGTTATTGATGAGTCTTTGATTTTGTCCGAAGGTAGACTGTCATTCAAGTATATACCAAGCAAGAGGAAACGCTTTCGTATAAAACTGTTTTGCTTTGTGATTGCTACAGTGGTCTTGTATTGGATATACAGTGGAACCTCGGGTTATGAATGTTCCACCATGCAAACGTTTCAGGATATGAACCGTCGTTCAGTCAATTTTTTGCTTCTGGATATAAACGAAATTTCAGGATGCGTACTTCCTCCTCAAGGGAGGTTCCTAAAATAAATAAATAAATAAATAAAAAATAAAGTATTTATTTCTTTGCAAAGGTTACAATGTGTGTTTACATATTATAATATGACCGGAGCAAAGAAAGCCACTATCATGCTGAGGCATTTCAGGCAGACTTAACCCAATACTTATAGACTACTTGTTTTGCTGATGGTAGTGCCAATTACTGGCACCTTTTTCAAGTTTTTCCTCACTGTTAGTAATATTATTATTATTTATTACTATTAAATTGTATTATTATCATAAAAAATATTGTTATTATTCTTTCTTTCAACACACCAGCTGCATCTCACCGAGGCAGGGTGGCCCAAAATGAAAAATGAAAGTTTCTCCTTTTACATTTAGTAGTTATTATTATTATTATTACATATATGGTAAGGAGCTCTTGATACAGGGAAATGGATCTGTGTTCCAGTTCCCTAAATTAACCCTTTCAGGACCCAAAGGCAAAATCTGAAAGGGTGTCCCAATGTCCAAGAAATTTTGAAAAAAAAAAAAAAAAAAAAAAAAAAAATCTTACAGAATTAAAGATAATATTTTTGTGAAGATAATAAAACAAAAAAAAATACTGATCAGTACTTATCGAGATATAGAGGTGGGAAGTTAACCCAAAATGACCGGGTGGCGGCAACATCAGTGACTTCCGCAAAATCGCATTTCTATATTTTACGTTTCTCATACTTTTTTCTATTATTTTCTAATTTTTTCTTTTTCAAGTAACATTTGTGGCCTGTGAGACCAATACAGTGGACCCTGAGTTTCGTGATTAATCCGTTCCAGAGAGCCTGCCGAAAGTCGAAATTCACGAAACTCAAAACCATTTTCCCCATAAGAAATAATATAAATAAAATTAATCTGTTCCAGATACCCAAAAATATTAAAATAAAATATTTTTCTTTCAAATTAAATAATGATTTACATACTGAAAACAATAAAAAATCAAGTACATGCACATAAAAAATTCAAATTCAAATTCAAAGTTTATTCTCTATAAGGATTACAATGCTGAGTTTACAGAATTTGGTTATTGTATTGTTTACATGTAGTAAAATAATAATTACAGAGTGTACCACTAGAACACCTAGCATGGCTAGGCATTTTGGGCAGACTTAAATTAAATCTTAAGTTTAAAATATTACAAAATTATGAGGTAAGTTGGTATTATGGCTAAGTGACTAAATACTAGTTTGTGACTTTAGCAATGTGAATGCTTTTGTTTTGGCACTATACATAGTTTCAGTATTGGAGTATCACAGGCAAACTTATGACTAGTTAAGATTCATTATTTTGAGATTGAGATTGATATTTCTGTTTATGGTCAAATGGGTGAGTGAGTGTAAGTGTTAACCACAAGGTGGTATTCGTGTAATTAGTTGACAGGGTGTATCAGGGAGATAAGATGTTTTCTGATGGTAGTTTTGAAGGTGATGAATGTGTCTGCAGTTTTAAAATTTTAAGGTAGGGTGTTCCAGATTTTAGGGCCTTTAACATACATTGAATTTTTGTAAAGGTTTAGTCGGACACGGGGAATGTCATAGAGATGTTTGTGTCTGGTATTGTGCCTGTGGGTTCTGTCGCAACTATCAAGAAAGCGTTTTAGGTCAAGGTTAATATTGGAATTTAAGGTCCTGTAGATGTAGATTGCACAGTAGTAAGTGTGGATGTCTCAGTAGTAGCACCAGTTCCTAGTAACCAGTTACCAGTAACCAGTGTACCAGTAGATGACTCACTACCAACCGTCTGCATGAATCACTGACTGATTATTCATATTGCTGCTGACCATAGCAGGATTTCAAACATCCCTCACCCATAGGCACTTGTGGGTCAGTCGTAGTAGGCAGCAGAGAGAGACAGGTCGGCTGTTGGCGCTTTCCATACTTCCCGTTATATATTATACGTACTACCAG